GAGTGCTGGGACAGCCCCCCGACAGTCCCCCTCCCGGTCCCAGCGGATGCGTAGTCTGGGGCTGGGGACTTGGAGCTCACAGTCGGAGGCTGAACAACAGCCTCCCTCTAGTGGCTCAAGCTCAAACATTCTCATGCCCTACAAAGCCCCAGAGCGTGTACACAGGAGACACGCTGGAGCCATTTCACAGGACTGGAATTCCATTGCCTGGCGAGTTCATCCCACACGAAGGGACGTGCCCGCAGCGCCTGTCGGCTGCGCCAAGAACTCCCTGGGCCGGTGCGCTGGCCCCGCCGCCCCGCCGCCGGCCCTTCTCGGGACTGGGGGGCACCCAGCTCGTCACATTGCTATCTGACGGCAAGAAACCGCCTGGCTTTCCTTAAACACCGAGCTCTGAGTTCTCCTCCCTCCCCCACCCACTTGACATCTTCTCGGGCTTTCTGTGGAAGGGGGCAGGAGGGTTGTGACAGGCTGGTGACTTTGTCCCCGTGTCGCTGTACCTTGTACTTTTTGGCAACCCTCGTTGAATGGGGCTGTCATCAGATCGTAAGACTTATTGAGCCCCTGCTTGGGCTGGGAAGGCACTGCCTTTCTGCTAGTGAAATTTTTAATCAATATTCGTGAAATTCTAGGAGATGGAATTCAGGCTCCAGTGGATACACCTAATGCCACTGCCCATGAAAGGCACAGACAACAGGGTGAAGACAGGGCTCCCCAGGGCACTCGCTGGCCCACCTCATCGGTCAGTGTAGAGGGAGAAATTCCCATACCACAGAGCAACTGACACATCCTCTTTTTTTCTTCCAACCCCAACCCTAGAATTCCACCTGTGCCTATCTCAGACAAAAAGGGAATTTTGGCTTCTGGTGACCTATCTGCCTGAGAACCACACAAACTTTTAGCAAGGTGGGCGTTATCCCCAAAGGTGCCACAATTCTTTTTACATGTGAGTTGTAACTTTCTCTGAACCATCACCAGTCTGGTTTGATCCTCCTTTCACATAGAATAGATACTCTTGGGGGTGTTTATTAGTTTCATAGTTTCAGTATATATAATGCAGCCAGATGCATGACCTGGGACCCCCGTGACAAAATGCTTTCTTATGACACAAGAACCAAATAAGGTAAACAAAATCTAAGGTGCTCCAGCAGCCTGACTAGTAATTCTTTCCTATCTTTGGTCTTTGGTCACACAAAAGAGCATTTAAGTGTGTGGCTGGGACACAAAATGAGGTCACACCTTACACTCTTAGCAGCCTGCCTTTGTCTCAAAAGAGGCCATGCTTCTCTCCTACCCTGACATCTTTCTCTGAAGCATTGGTTAGCATCAGAGGAATGTGTTTCCTTTTCTGAAAGAGCCATCAAATCCAGGGCTTTCTTGGCTCTGGCAAATTAAGTGTCACACCTGTCCCCCACCCCTTATCTAATTTGCATTGCGTACCACCCACGTTGCAGGGGAGGCAGAGAGATGGAGCGGAGTGGGTCTTTTTCTTGCCCACTCCTTTTACCACAATGGCAGAGCCACTGGACAGCAGAAAATACTGTACAACTACATTAACATATTTAATCTGCTTTGGGTTGAAGTAGTTAATTTTTCATATTAAATGCCTTCCATAAAGCACTTCAGTGAGGGAAAGAGAGGAATCCTTTCTCCCCCATGAATACTGCAAGGGAGCCTCCTATTGGGAAAAACCAAACAAGGTCACTCTCATAGAGGCCCCTGGTGATAACGGCATGGATAAGATCATCCTGAGATCCTCACTGCATGCTTGCTCACCACAGACAGGAGGCTGTTTTTATTCCATCCTCCTTGCTGGGCATTGACAAGCAATGAAATAGTCAAAGGGTAGCAGTAAGAAGGGCAGAAGGGAGGGAGTCTAGTTCTTTGGTCTGTAAGGACAGACCAACGGTGGTAGATTTTGATGTCTCTGGTCACCACACAGATTTAAACAAACAGCAAGAAGGGGGTGCAAAGGTTTTCCCAATTCTTTCCAAGAGGATGTATTTTGAGTACATATTGAATCTGACATAATTGTGAGCTCCCTTTCAAAGCCATCTACTGAGCTGAAGAAAGAGATCAGAAATGAAATGAAATTGATACACATTTAATCTACTTTAAATAAATTGACAGGAAGAATAAAATTTCAGATGTTTTTTATTCAAAGGTTCTCAAAAGAAATAAAACAGAAAAAGCTAACAATCTGATCAAATGTACAGTTCAAAAATGTCTTTTGGCGTTTAACAACAAGTCCTAAGAAAGAAAACTACAGAGTTATCTTGAACCGGACAAATAAGTTACCACTGGCAAGTTTGTGGCACTAGTAAAACAAAAATAAAAAATTAACTCTCTTGATCATATAGATATCTCTATGAAAATCTTTTTTTTCAATCTGTACAAAAGGTCTTTCTTCATAAATTAATTTTTTTTATAATTTAATGGCTGTCTACTATGTGATGTTTAACTGATTTTTTTTTTATTTTTTTTATTTTTTATTTTATGTACAGAGGTTATGTTTCCCAAATCTTACCCAGACGAGTATGGCACTTAGTTCAGACATTTCTAGCAGCAGATTTCCCCTCCCCTCTGAGCTATCAAATTTCTGTCTTAACTAACGCAAAAATATCAAGTAGTGAGAGACCCAGGTTTATAAATGTACTAGGTACACTGAGGGTGCTGCGTTCAGTCTGGACTTTCACAAAGCAGTAATATTCCAGGGAGCATAGAACCAATAATACCACAACTTTAAAAAAAGGAAACAAAAAGCAAAAACAAAAACACATTTCTCTTACGACTATGTAATTTTCACTAGAATCTACACTTCTCAGAGCAGCAAGGACTTTTGAAACTATGAAATGTCACTGACACCTATAATCAAATAAAAGCATAAAATTTAAGAACTAAAAAATACTCAAAAGAAATAACTGCTTAGCCCTAGCTCCTGAGCTAGGAGGATTTGGTCTGTGGAAACAGGGAGGGCCAGCAACCTGTCCCAGCACAAAAGAAAATAGACTCTGAGGTAGATAACTGATCACACACAGCTGACCAGACAGGTACACAGTTTTGCAAGAGAACTTAATTTACCATTGCTTTTAAAACATATGCAATTGCCTTAATAAAAGAGCTTCAATAACAGTGAATTATCTCATAGGTACTAAAGTAGAAGTAACTGTGTATTTATGAATCAGGAATTTCATAGTTTCAAAATTGGTTTTCTTTACACTTGAACACTTGTAGTGATGATGTAAAGTGTGGCACTGCTTGGATCCAAATCTTCCTTCATGCTTTTTTGTTTGTTTGTGTGTGTCCATACATCAATTAAAATTATAAAACCTAAATGCAAAGGTACAAAAAAGGCACATTCTCCTAACCGCAAACTGGTCCGGCAAAAATAAAGAGCACAGAAGATGTGATGCTGAGACAAGTTGGAGCTACTGGGTACTGGCTCTTCGGTCTTTGGTGAAATTACCTTTTAAAAGTGCCAAGTCATTTTTATTTTTCAAATTTACCTAATAGAGAGAGAGAGCTAGTAGCCAATCATTTTGCTTCTATTCATATCTCAGCTTATGTTTGAAGATAGATCCTTACTTTTAGCTTTTGCCATTTAGTTGCAATAGCAACATTTTTTCGGTTTGCCAGATCTCAGGCATAATTCTCCTTCTAAAGCACTATCATTTGTATAAAAGAAGGACAAAACATTCGGTGACTCCCCTCCCCCACCCCCCA